GCCAAAGGATGAACCGAAGATGAGTCACAATGCTACCGAACCCCAAATTCTTGATTAAGTAGGGAGAATTTTAAGCCGCAGGCAGGATAATAATCTTGAAAAAAGAAAGATCAAAGAGAATAAATAATTCTGCTTCTGTACGCACTAAAATCTCCTTGAAGCTTGGAAAAGTCTAGACGAGGAAAGATCTAGACTTTTCCAGTGAAAAGGAAATGATGTCTACTGTGGCCTTTAAAAACAATCAAATCAAATGCCTCCATAAATTTTTTTTTTAAACCAACTTGACATTTGCCATTTTCAAAAATCTACTTTATTCAATGGATACACTAGGAATGGAAAGACCTGGGTTCTAGTCTCCCCTCAGGCACAGCAGCTCATTGGCTGACTTTGGGCTAAACCCCTCCCTCTAAACCTAAGAACCAATCGGATGTAGCAGGAAAGTTGGGAGTAGGAGTGGCAAGACTTGGGTTCGAGTCCACCTCCCCCGGCCACAGAAACACATTCGCTGACATTGGGGCAGCTCCTTCCTCTCAGCCCAAGAATCTGGGTAGGGTTAATGTTGGTGACGATACTAAAATCGAGGATTCTGTGTTTGTGTGTATGATACAGATTTATTTCATTCAATTGGATGCTGCCCGATTCCAGAATGATGGTGGGTGACTCTCATATAATGAACAGAATTAAATATATATATATATAAATAGGAATGATACAAAGCACACACACACACAAAAAAAAAAAAAACCCAGACACACTAGAAAAAAGAAAATGAGGACAAAATTGGTCAACCATACAAGAATGTATACCAACAACTTCCAGGGGCTGCTCCAGTCATTCTACTTGCCCAAGCCCTGGGAAGAGAAGAAAAATCTTTCACGTTTTCTGGAAAATCACATGGATGGATCTCAGGGATAACCTCATCCAGGGGACCATGACAGAAAAGACACACTTCCAGGGTCCTGATAAACGACATTGTTTGATGGAAAGAACCTGGAACATGTGGAATCTGCGGTCAGTTTGTAAGGGCCAGGCCAGGGATCAGCAACCTGCGGCTCTGGAGCCGCATGTGGCTCTTTCACCCCTCTGCTGCGGCTCCCTGTCACTCAAAATATGCGTCACAACCGCCAATGTGCAACACCTCTAAACCCTCTAAACCTAAGAACCAATCGGATGTAGCAGGAAAGTTGGGAGTAGGAGTGGCAAGACTTGGGTTCGAGTCCACCCCCCGGCCACAGAAACACATTCGCTGATATTGGGGCAGCTCCTTCCTCTCAGCCCAAGAATCTGGGTAGGGTTAATGTTGGTGACGATACTAAAATCGAGGATTCTGTGTTTGTGTGTATGATACAGATTGATTGAGCCCGGTAGGCCAACCATGGATAAAAGAAGTTTCAGAAGAAAACAGAACGTTTAGTTCAACTACATATGCTAGTTTTGTGGCCGCTCAAGAAATAGTCAGGCACGGGAAGGGTTTTGTGGCTCCCGGTGTTTTCTTTTTTGTGGGAAATGGGTCCAAATGGCTCTTTTGAGTGTTTAAGGTTGCAGACCGCTGGGCCAGGCAGACACTACAAGAGATAGGTAGTTCCTCAAATTACTAGCCTGTATGCTATTTAGGACTTTTATAGCCAGCCCCTTAAATCCCAGCCAGAAACACACATTGGTAACCAAGCCAGCTTCATGAGATAGTACTACTTGAGGAGTTGCCTGGAGGTTTGGAGATGTTTAAATAGACTGTACACTGGTTTGTAACAGAATAGAGTTGGAAGGGACCTTGGAGATCTTCTAGTCCGCCACCCTGCTCAAGCAGGAAACCCTATACCAAGTGGCTGTCCAATCTCTCTTTAAAAGCCCCCCTAATGATGGATCACCCACAACTTCTGGAGGCAAGTTCTGTTCCACTGGTTAATTGTTCTCATTGTTAGGACATTTCTCCTTAGTTCTAGGTTGCTTTTCTCCTTGATTAGTTTCCACCCATTGTTTCTTGTCTTGCCTTTTGGTGCTTTGGAAAATAGCCTGATCCCCTCTTCTTTGTGGCAGCCCCTCAGATATTGGAAGACTGGTATCATGTCACCCCCTAATCCTTCTTTTCAATAGACTAGACATACGCAATTCCTGCAACCGTTCTTCATATGTTTTGATCTCCAGCCAAATCATTTTTGTTGCTCTTCTCTGTACTCTTTCCAGAATCTCAACATCCTTTTTATTTTGTATTAAACATCCTTTTTAACTAAAGACTATATGGAAAAATGGGGTTTTCCCCCCAGATGATATATATTTTTTTTGCTTTAATTTATATGCCGCCCTTCTCCGGAGACTCAGGGCGGCTTACAGTGCGTTAAGCAATAGCCTTGATTTGTATATTTATACAAAGTCAGCTTTTTGCCCCCACAAACTGGGTCCTCAATTTACCTATCTTAGAAAGGATGGAAGGCTGAGTCGACCTTGAGCCTGGTGAGATTTGAACTTGCAGTAATTGCAAGCAGCAGATGTTAATAGCAGTGCTTTAGTCCACTGTGCTACAGGCTCAGCCAGCAGTCTCCCAATGGGCAGCAGAGTGTTTGCTGGCTGCCAGAAAAAAAGCCTAGAAACTAGTAGATTGTGATTTCACTGAACTAGGGCTGCATAAAAATCTTGGTTTACGTAGGAAGAACCTGGCTAAAGATATAATTTTTCCCTTTCTAATTCCTGCATTTTTGATGCGAGACGAGACCAGGTCAGTTGATGGGAGCAGAGCTGCCACATGGGCATCACTATCTGCACTACTGCATTCTGGGCCCGAGGAAGCTGGCAAGTAGTCTTCAAGGGCCGCCCCATGTAGAACACTTTGCAGTAATCAAGGTCAAGAGGTGACTAGGGCAGGAGTGACCACCTGAAAAGCTTCCTGATCCCGGAAAAGGCAGAGTTGCCCCACCAGATAAAGCTGGGCAAAGCTTCTTGGCCACCTCCTCACTCAGCAGTAGCTGTAAATCCATAAAGACCTTCAGATTGTACCTGACCTTCAAAAAGAGAAGCACAATCTCATTTAAGGTATCTCTGGATCTTGATGGCCCTAATGTCCACAGCTACTCAGTCTTGGTAAGACTGAGTTGGAGACACTTCCTCCTTATCCAAACCTGTAAGAACCTCCAGGCACTTGACCAGCCTGGTATCGAAAAATATAATTGGATGTCAGTTACATTGATGGTACTGAACTCTAGACCAGGGGATCACCGTATCTAGATGTTTTATGTAGATGTTATATAGGAGAGGAGACTATAGGGCTTGAGAGTGACTTCCGATTGCCAACAGTAGCCCTGAAGGAAGACGATTGTCATAAAAATGTGCCCTCAATTTCCAACCTCTGGTGTGGAAGGATGCCATGATTGATGGGATTGAACTCTGCCAAGAAATCAAGGAGCACAAGAATGGATTGGCCATCATCATCCAGGCTTTGTCAAAAGTCATCTACAAGTATCATCCAGACCCTCTCCATCCTAAATCCCGCTGAAACCAGTCTACATAATCTCCTTCCTCCAAGATTCTTTGCAGCTACGGTCTAACCATCCTCTCAAAGATTGGAGATGGTTGGTGGTTATTTAACAATGTTGGACCTCTTGAGGGGGCCAAACTACCATCTCTTTCGAGGTCAGAGGTGCTACCCATCCATCAATGTGAAAAACACTACAGCAAGGACCCAACCTGCCTGCCACTTTCAAGACCCAAGGGACTTCAGAGCCAGCACACAGGCGGTTGAGCTAACACCACGGAGAACCTGGTCAATTTCCTTGAAAATCAACGGTTCAAACTGTTCCCAGTTCACACTAGAAGATAGAGCCTCAAGCACCCTTGGCCTTGGGGCAGATTTGAGTGACTTTATCTACCAGGTAACTAGAATATTTTTCACAGATCTGCAGGTCCTCTGGCCTGTCCCAATTCAGTAGGAACCAGGGCATCTACTGGATGGTTATCTGTGGATGCAATAAAGGTGGAGAAATATTGATGTATCTCCATTAACAAGGGAATCCCTAATACGGGCCCTTACCTAAATTCAATCAGACTCACTCCCAGTCATCTTCCAATAGCACTCCAGGAGTCCCTTCTGGCACATTCTGGAATTCCCTAACCGTGAAAGCAATCAACCAGTGGAACAGCCTTGCCTTCAGAAGTTGTATATGCTCCATCACTGGAGGCTTTCAAAAAGAAACTGGACAGCCGTTTGTCTGAAATGGTGTTACGATTTCCTGCTCAAGCAGGAGGTTGGACTGGAAGTTCTCTTAGGCCCCTTCCAACTCTATTATTCTATCTCTATGTCTAACTCCTCAGGAAACCAAGGTGCAATCCAGGATTAGCACCATGAGGACAATATAGTCCAAAGCCCAACCTTCTGCCCCATTCAGATGGCAACTAGGGCCGAATTGCCCACCAGATCCTTGAGGGGGTCTCCATATAGGGGTGTCCTTGAGGGGTGTCCAACCATGGCTGGCTGGGGAATTCTGGGAGTCGAAGTCCACAGGTCTTAAAAGTTGCCAAGGTTGGAGACCCCTTCTTCCTATGCCTGGATACACAGACCTAATCCTACTGCCCTTCCCCCACCGCAGGCACCCCCAAGAATCCACCCAGTCCCACAAAAGACTCAAATCACCCTCCTGGATCGTGAATGCCCAAGGACGTGGGTGGTTTAAAGGAAGCGGGGAAGCCCTTGCAACGGGAAAGAACCCCTTCATCTTCAAAAGCTCCCTGGGTGACTGGATCAGCCTCTCTCTCTCTCTCTCTCCCAGCCTAAATGACCTCATAAAATTGTCACTGTGGTAAAATATGAGTGCTGTGCCCCATGTATTGCCTTGAGATATCTAAATCAATAATTCAAGAATAAATAAGAACCAATAATAAATAAGTAAACAAATAATAAGAGGTCGGGTCAGCCTTTGGGCATACCTTAGAGCAGGGGTGAGCAACTATAGCTCCTTTAGGACCTGTGGACTTCAACTCCCAGAATTCCTGAGCCACCATGCTGGCTCAGGAATTCTGGGAGTTGAAGTCCACAGGTCCTAAAGGAGCCATATTTCGCCACCGCCGCCTTAGAGGGGAGCTGCCCTGCTGAACTGAAGAAAGCAAACCGATTCTGGGGATCCCCCTTGCCTGCACCCCCCAAAACAGACCAAGTCCGTGTCCATTTGCACCCTTGTAGTATCACAGATCTCTGGCACTCAGGAAAGCCAGAGAAAACCACACCTCCTCTCCCTGCGGGGACTCAGTGAACGGACTTCACTCTGGTAACAAAGATGGAGGAAGCCCTCTTGAGGAACTCGTCCTTCTTCATGGCCGCGCTGGCTTTCCTCTCCAACAGCGCCTGGTCCATCGCCATCGCCAAGCAGTCTGGCCTGAGCTTGGAACCGGCTTCCAAGCAACGGATGGGAGGCGAGACGTCGGTTATGTGGAGGGCATCTTCCAGGGTGCCCAGCACGGCCGTGCAGACCCTTTTATCGGCGGCTCCCGAGCCGTCGTCGAGGGCATCGTAGAGACCGTCGGCCTTGGTCAAGAACTCGAGAAGGATCAGGCAGGTGAGGACGCCGTAACGGAAGATGTCGAAGGGTACCACTTCGTGGTCCCGGCACGAGACCTTCTGCAGGAGGGGCTGCAAGGTCTCGTCGGAGGCGCCCCTCTCTTGGCACAGCAGTCGCAGCAGCTCGCTGTAGGTCTTCCCGTCCACGCCGGGTTTCTTGCCCTTCCCCTTAGCACTGAGAGCATCGTAGGCGGAGTGGACGTTGTTGTTAAAGGCCGTCCTAATGGAAGAGGAGGGGAGGGAGGGGGAAAAATTAACAATGTTAACGGATGGTCTTGGAGCAGCAAAGCCCTAAAGTACAGTCTGAGGAGAGTGTGTGTGTGTGTGTGTGTGTGTGGTTTTGGTCACAATGGGCTGCTGACAGGAAAGTACTTGGAACTGCGAGATGGCCCCAAACCTGGATTTTTATTAATTTGTTTGTTTTCATCCCACCCTGTATTATTTTTTTTTACAAATAACTCAAGGTGGTGAATATTTCCAGCATGTTTCCCTCCTCCTATTTTCCTCACAAGAACTGTGTGAGGTGAGTTGGGCCGAGAGAGTGAAGGGACTCAGCTGGCTTTCACGACAAAAGCGGGACTAGAACTCCCTGTCTCGTGGTGATTGGCCCAGTCACCAAGCCAGGTTTCACGATGAAGGCGGGACTAGAACTCCCTGTCTCGTGGTGATTGGCCCAGAGTCAACCAAGCCAGCTTTCACGACAAAGGCGGGACTAGAACTCCCTGTCTCGTGATGATTGGCCCAGAGTCACCAAGCCAGGTTTCACGATGAAGGCGGGACTAGAACTCCCTGTCTCGTGATGATTGGCCCAGAGTCACCAAGCCAGGTTTCACGATTAAGGCGGGACTAGAACTCCCTGTCTCGTGGTGATTGGCCCAAAGTCACCAAGCCAGGTTTCATGATGAAGGCGGGACTAGAACTCCCTGTCTCGTGATGATTGGCCCAGAGTCACCAAGCCAGGTTTCACGATGAAGGCGGGACTAGAACTCCCTGTCTCATGATGATTGGCCCAGAGTCACCAAGCCAGCTTTCACGATGAAGGCGGAACTAGAACTCCCTGTCTCATGATGATTGGCCCAAAGTCACCAAGCCAGCTTCAATGGCTAAGGTGGAACTAGAACTCCCAGTCTCCTGGTGATTGGCCCAAAGTCACCAAGCCAGCTTTCATGGCTACGGCGGGACTACAACTCAACAGTTTCCCACTTTTTAGTCTGGTGTCTTAACCATTAGACCAAACTAAGGATGGTAAGATTAAGGAATTGAGTTTAGGTAAAGGTAAAGGTTTCCCCTGTCCAGTCATTTCTGACTCTAGAGGATGGGTTGCCAAGGGAGCCAATGTTGTCTGAAGACATTTTCCCTGGTCATGTGGCTAGCATGACTACAGGTAGCCCTCAAGTTACAACAATTGAGCCCAAAATTTATGTTGCTAAGTGAAACATCTGTTAAGTGAGTTTATCTCATTTTACGACTTTTCATGCCAGAGTTGTAAAGTGAGTCACTGCATTTGTTAAATTAGTAACACGGTTGTTAAGTGAATCTGGCTTCCCCATTGACTTTGCTTGCCAGAAGGTTGCAAAAGGAGATCACATGACCCCAGGAACTGGGGAACTGGGAACTAAATGAACTGTTGTAAAGTGGAGGACTACCTGTACACGCCGAGGTGCATGGAACACCGTTACCTTTCCCAAAGTGGTACCTATTTATCTACTTGCATTCGCATGCTTTTGAATTGCTAGATGGGCAGAAGCTGGAGCAAATAACTGGGCTTCACCCCGTCACATGGCACTTGGGTCTTGAACCCAGGCTGTCAGCTTTACAGGGGATAAGCTCAGCATCTTTAACTGGTGATCCATAACGCCCCCTCCTCCCAAATGGAGCCTAGATCACATTAAAGCTGGATCAAGTACTGTATTACTTTGAGAAATGACAAGCTGAATTGATCAGCGCTCCATATTGGGTCTTCGTTGAAGTAAAAAAAACTTATTTGGAGAAGTAACAGAAAAAAAAAGAATTAAAGAACTTACTTAGGGCTAGGCTAACTGTTTTAGTTTCAGCCATTTCTAATTCCAAAGTCAAGAAAGAGTTTGGGGTATCTGGAAATATATCAGCTGCATAATAACTGTTTTCACTATTTTGGAAGAAAATTTCCAAAAAACCCTCCAGACAGCCATTCTGTATCTAATAAGATATATTTCAGACTCAAATTGAGGTGTTTTGAGTTTGAAATGGTTGGAAACTAAATATTTTAAAACACTCAACTGTTGATGAAAACATTTAAAGTTGTATAATTATTACACTTGTTATTGCTTTTCTCATACAAGTTTTCTTTTAACTTTAGAAAATGGCATCAAGGATGCTGAGCTTTTCTATGTGTCAATGATTGTAATCAGTTTCAAACAACTAAATAGGATTAGCCATTGGCAAAACATTTCTTCTGTATTTCTTCCTAGGAAACGTCATACAGGTCGTCCTCGACTTACAACTGTTGGTCGTTAAGTGACCATTCAAAGTTACAACAGCAGAGAAAAAAAGTGACTGACAATCAGTCCTCACACTTACAACCACCGCAGCATCCTCACATGATCGTCATCTGATCAAAATTTGGGCAACTGGTATACACTTAAGACAGCTGCAGCGTCCTGAGGTCATGTGATCACCATTTGCTACCATCTCATTTGGCTTTCGACAAGCAAATTTAATGGGGAAAGCCGTATTTGCAGTGATTCGCTGAACAACCATGGCAAAAGAGTCATAATATCAGACACAACTCCCTTAACAACTGCTATGCTTAGCAGTGTAAATTCTGGTCCCAATTGTGCTTGTTGAGGACTACTTGTGTGTGTGTGTATACACACACCAGAGACTTGCCAATAAACCTTATGCTTACTTTACATGACAACTAATATTTATACATATCAGCTGACAAAAGTTTTATATTTTGTTTGATTCATATATTAACATACAGTAGAATTATTTTGTTCCTTCTACACATAAAATGGTAGGCTGCCTTGGGAAAACACATCAAACTTACTTTATGCCAAGAAAAATATGCTTGGAGTAGACATATTTGTGATTTGGCTTTCGCCAAAAGTAAATCAAAGTAAAAAGCAGAGGATTAAAGAAATCAGTAATGATTTCATCTGGAAATTTCATCTGGCTATCAATAAAAATTAATATTATTCACAGATCTTCTGTAGTCATGGTTCATGAAATACTGTATTTCATCGAGTTTATAAAAATGGTGAGATAAAGGGGAATATTTATTTCTCCATGATGGCTAACAGAACCTACTAAACTTCTTCCAAGTCTCATCTTTAGCTTTTCCTATAAGTTGCAAAAGCAAGATATTTTACTCTGTAAATTTCCTTTAACACACAAGTCCTCTTTTCCTTCTCCACTTTTCCTCACGCTTTTTAACAGAATTTTAGTCTCAACTCGAAAACCATCCAAGTCTTCGGTGATAGATGTAATATTTCCCCTCTTTGTACTCAAAAATATTTAGCATACGGAATAGTGAAGTAAAAAATGCCCTTAGTCACTGACTAGGCTTCTTGTTTCCCCGTTTACTAAGCTGTAATAATTTCAGCTGATTATACTGCAATTCTTTATGACTAATCATGTATTACACTATACATTACTTTAAAGTTTTAATCATTATGAATTATGTTTGATAATGAATGCATCTAGAATTGTGAAATGGGTGAATCATTATGCCTGGTAGGAAGAGAGCTGGTAGCAAAAATAAAATAAAATAAAATAAAAATCAGGAGGGGGTTTGGGTAGCATCTTTTCTGAGTAACAAATTTTATTATAAAGGCACCAGCTTTTTGTGAGAGGAAGATCCCTTTATCAATATGTAGAGTGAGGAGGGAGGATTTAAATTGGCCAAAATGGGCTACAGCATCGGAGGTTTTGTTCTCTACCAGGCTCCATAAGGGCCTCTGGGGCCCCCATGTCAGTCAGCCCAAACCGACCATTAAAAGGCAGTCAGAGTTCCTGATGCAGCCCAAAACAATCCATTATTTCCATTTTTTCCTTCCTGTGGGTCCCTCACACCTCCATGCTCGGCCGCTGTAGAAAGAGAGAAGAAAAAAAAACTACATTTCCCAATGAGCCCCGCGGGCGGAGTCCCTTAGACCCGCCCGTGGGCCGACCCGTTGCATTGTGGGGATCGTAGTTCCGTCCCTCGCAAACGGAATTCTTCGCCCCCACCTGTGGGAATGGTGGGCCAGGCCCAGATACCACAAGGCCCGGTCGAGACACAGTTGCCGCTGGGGGTCCCCGCCGTCCGACAAGGCCTCCGTCGCCGCCTCCGGGCTACTCTGCGTCAGCTTCTCGAAGTAGCCGGCTAGGAAATCGACGGGTTTCTCCGGCCGGGCTTCGAGCACTTTGAGGAGAGCCTCTCGCACCATGTCGGTCACGCCGGACTGCAGGAGGAACTCCGCCTCGCCCTCGGAGACGCCGTTCGCTGACAAGGTCGAGCGGCTCTGATCGGTCCCGGCCGCCGCCGCCGCCGCCGCCGCGGGGGATGAGCGTCTCTTTTCATTGGCCGCCATTTTGGTTGAGGGCACTGTTTCTCGCTGGCTGCCATTTCGACTGAGGTCCGTTCGACCGCCATCTTAAGTAAGGGCCCTCTCTTTTCGACGCTCCCTCCCACCCCGGGAGCGCCCTCTATAGTTTTTCCTAGTGGCCAATCAAGGGACCGCTATGAGGTCATGAATCTGCGCCGAGACAAGAATTTGTCTCGTGAACGGCTTCCCAAAGCAGCCAAAAGGGAGATTAATTTTCAGCGGGAGGGAAGAAAGGGCGCGTTCCAAACTTACTGCCATTCTCCACCTTTTTAGGTGGAGAACTCACTTTTTAGGTGGAGAACTCACTTTTGTGAGGCGGAAGCGCACCTCATTCTGAAAACGTACCAAGCATTTCGGCCATAGAGATAAAAAAAAAAGAGCAGCCACAGAGATTAAAAAAAAAGTGAGGCTAGAGTGGCCCTTCGTGCCCATAAAGCGAAGTAGACAGCATCCTGTTTCCGTCTCTACCGGAAGAGTAGGTGCACTTCCGTTTCCGGAATCAAACCGCTCTAGGCTCTAACGTCTCTACACCCGGAAGTTTCGTCGGGAAACCTATGTGTACATGGTAGTGGGGGGGGGCAATATCCCTCGACGCGACGTTTCCCTCTCTGGCTTCGCCGTCTCTACGTTTGACCCTATTCCCGTGTGGGCTTGCCATCGCGAAGGAGGTCTCGCGAGAGTTAAGGAGTTCGGGAAAGCGGTTCCTGGAGCGCCTCTGGATGCCGGAAAGGAGGTGAGGTCGCTGGGGTGGCGGGTTGCGATACAACGGTCTCCTCCTTCCCGGAAGAAATGGGCAGGGGTGAAATCCAGCAGGTTCTAACACAGAGGTCTTCAAACATGGCCGCTTTAAGACTTGTGGACTTCAACTCCCAGAATTCTCCAGCCAGCATAGCTGGCTGGAGAATTCTGGGAGTTGAAGTCCACAAGTCTTAAAGCGGCCAAGTTTGGGGACCCCTGTAAATCTAACAGGTTCTGGAGAACCGGTAGCGGAAATTTTGAGTAGTTCAGAGAACCGGCAAATGCCACCTCTGGCTGGCCCCAGAGTGGGGTGGGAATGGAGATTTTGCAGTATCCTTCCCTTGCCACGCCCACCAAGCCACACCCACAGAACCAGTAGTTTAAAAAAAAAAAATTGAATTCCACCCCTGCAGAGGAGCCCTTGGCTGCCCATCTCACCTTGCAGCGCGATGGGTGGCAAAATTAAAATAAAATAATAATAAATAAATATGAAATGCGGTTCCCCGTAAGAGCCCAGCCTTATTTAGCAGGGGTGGGTCAAAGAGACCAAAATTGAAGAGCCCTCTCTCAACAGAGGGGGAGGGATACCACATCATCTGTCTCCAGTCTACAACACGGTCCTTTCAGCAGTACCAAGAAGGCTCCATGCCCATTTAAATACAGTAAATACAGTAGTATTTACACTACTCAGGTGATCCTGAAGACACAGACTTCCAAGTGGCCTCAACGACCCTCTTAAAGGATGCAAATGGCCAGCTGTCTACAAGGAGTATAAATCCTTCCGTTCCTCACCATCTGGCCAGAGCTGAAGAAGCTTCTTGGATGAGAAGCGAAACGTCTTCAAAAGAAAAAAACAACGAAAGTCCAGTTGCCTCCTAAAAAAAGCATCTTTGGTTCTACCCTCCGTGCGTCTAATAGGACATGAAGATAGATACAGGTAGTTCTTGACTTATCCACCAGCATTTGGGGCCATATTTTCTGTTGCTAAGCAAGGCAGTTGTTAAGTGAGTCACTCCTGAGTTTACAAGGTTTTTGCTACCATTGTTAAGCGAAAGGGAATCACGTGATCTCAGGACACTGCAACCGTCATAAAGGTGAGTCAGTTTGAAAGCATCTGGATTTTTATCACATGACCATGGGGAATGCTGCAATGATCATAAGTGTGAAAAATGGTCATAAGTCACTTTTTTTCAATGCCGTTGCAACTTTGAAGAGCCACTAAGTGAACTGTTGTAAATTGGGGATTAACTGTATAGTTGAGTAAATTGTTTTTGTTTTGTTTTGCCAATAAAGAATTCTATTCTAGGGTGTAAGTCGAAGATTACCTGCATTTGAAAGCCTGGAAAAGAAAGGATTCTGAACCGAAGTTTGCAAGCAGAGCTTTAAAAGGGAAAGACAGAAAGAGCCCAAATTGCAATTCTTCTTCTTGTTGTGCCATATCCTTCATCGGACGTTGACGAGCATGTTGGCGATCCTATTTTTATCAACAGCCACACGAAAAAGGGCTGTTGAGTTTTGTCCAAACCGGTCGGTCCCTTAGATTTTGAAGCCATGAGGTTATTCTTATGCCTGGACCTCATTTTCCTTCAGTCTTTCCCTGGAGGATTAAGTGAAGTATGGCGTATTTTTCCAGGTGTCGCCTCACATGTCCAAAATATTCTAACTTTCGCTTTTTAATGGTTTTGATGATTTCCCTTGGCTTTCCCAGGTGGCTTATCCCCTCCTCATTTCTGATTTTGCCAACCCCGCTTAAACGTAACAGCCGCCTGTAAATCCACATTTCAAATGCTTCTAGTCTCTTCAAGTGGCTTGCTGTCAGAGACCAATTCTTCACTTTGTAGAGGAGAGAAAAGACGTAACATCTGAGAAGCCTGATTTTCAATTTTAGGCTTATGTCGTGACTGCCCTAAGAAGATCCTTTTTCATTTTGAAGAATGCTTGTTCGATTGCAATGCATTAAGCTATATTGCAGTTTTCCCCCCAATGGACTAACAGTTCCAATTCTTATTTGAAATTTTAGCCTTTATCATTAGCATTTTTTCAAAGGCGATATTAGCATTTTTAACACAGTAGTCTAGGCCTCTTTTCTAACTGTGGTAAAGCATGATTTTTCTTCTTAGCCAAGGACATTTCTTTCCCGTAGGTGATAATCTGCTTTATCAGTCACTAAACAATAGTATCTTCAGAAAGTCCTTGAATACACTTGTAAGGCTAAAAGCTATAAATGGGGAAATGGGGAAAACCCATAAATTTGGCCCTTGTGGAATGTTATCAAGAGTTGGTGTTTCCTGTTGTTCAAGTCTCACATGCACTCAACATTTTATTGTTTGATCACTGTGCTGTCAGATGCGTTACACATACAGGTAGTTGACGTACAACCATTTCTTTAGTGACTGTTCAAAGTTACAACGGCAGTGGGGAAAAAATGACTTACGACCGTGTTTGGCATGACCACTGGAGCATTCCCCAGGGCCACGTGATCAAAATTTGGATGCTTGTCAAGTGGCATGTATTTATGACCGTTGCCGTGTCCCGGGCTCTGTGCGTTAACCTTTTGCGACCTCCTGGCAAGCAAAGTCAAGGGGGAAGCCGGATTCACTTAACAACCATGTTACTAATTTAACAACTGCGGTGATTTCATTAACAACGGTGGCTCAAAAGGTTGTAAAATGGGATAAAACTCACTTGAAGAGCTGTGGTGGCGCAGTGGTTAAGAATGCAGTACTGCAGGCTACTTCTGCTGACTGCCAGCTGACTGCAATTTGGTAGTTCGAATCTCACAAGGCTCAAGGTTGACTCAGTCGTCCATCCTTCTGAGGTCAGCAAAATGAGGACCCAGATTGTTGGGGGCAATAGGCTGACTCTATTAAACTCTGTAAACCGCTTAGAGAGGGCTGTAAAGCATTGTGAAGCGGTATATAAGTGCTATTGCTATTAATAGCAGTCAGAGCTGTCATCCTGCCATGTACTATGGGGGTGGGGAGGGAGCCTGGCAGAGAGGGGGAAAAGTGAAACTGATGAAGTTGTGGGAAAAAGCCTCCCTCTTAGAGACACTCAAGAGTCTTCAAGGTCGTTGCCCCAGAAAAGAATGCAAGATTGTTGCAAAAGAGCCTTGGTAGTACAGTGGTCTAAAGCACCCTGTTATTAAGACCAGCTGCCTGCAATTACTGCAGGTTTGAATCTCGCCAGGCTCAAGGTTGACTCAGCCTTCCATCCTTCTAAGGTAGGTAAAATGAGGACCCAGATTGTGGGGGCAATAAGCTGACTTTGTATAAATATACAAAAGGATGAAGGCTATTGCTGAGCACATTGTAAGCCGCCCTGAGTCTTTGGACAAGGGCGGCATATAAATCAAATTAAAAAACAAAAATTATGATTTAAATCGAGTTGATTTAAATCAAGCCTCTTTACTAGTGATTTAAATCATGATTTAAATTGTGATTTAAATCAACTCGATTTAAATCAAATCCATCCTGCCAGGATACGAAGGGTCTGTAGATATTTTCACAGCCCTCTTTTTGACTCGTGCAGTATACTTGGTTGGAAACAACAGTTTATGTCCGTAGGGAAGTATATTTACCAGCCTGGGAAGGAAACCCCCTTTCTTTCCAATGCTGAGTTGTCTTCTTTCGTCGTGTAGTGCCCTATGAAACATCCACTTTGTTTGTTTTTTGAATGAAGTCAAATTCAGGGCGCCTATTTTCAGGAAAGGACATGATGAAGTGTCACGCGTGAAATGCAAACTTTTAGGGACTTTCTGCGGCCCTCAATGTTGATTCTTCAGACACGTGTCATTTCCTGTTTGATGTAGTGAAAGTTGTGCGTGCGCAGCTCCACTTGCAGAGCGGCGGGAATGCGCGCCTGCCATTCACACAAATGGTGTTGCCCGCTGCCAGTTCACAATAGAAAGTGGCCTCAGTGCATTATTTATTTATTTATTTATTTATTTATTTATTTATTTATTTATTTATTTTATTCAATTTGTATACCGCCCTTCTCCTAGTGGACTCAGGGCGGTGCACAGCCAGAATTAAAACACATACCAATACAAAATTTAAAATTATTAAAAGAATTACATACTTTGGCCCAAATATTAAAACAATTTGAATTAAAACCCATTGACAGATTAAAAGCTAAAAAACTAAAAAAAAAAGGGGGGGGGGTTTCATGCCAGCCCTGCTTGATGGAAAAGAAAAGTTTTTAGTGCACGGTGAAAAACCCGGAGATCCGATATCCTTCGTATCTCCGGGGGCAAATCGTTCCAGAGGGCAGGTGCTGCCACAGAGAAGGCCCTCCCCCTGGGGGTCGCCAGCCGACATTGCCTGGCTGACGGCACCCTGAGGAGTCCCTCTCTGTGGGAGCGTACTGGTCGGTGGGAGGCTATCGGCGGCAGAAGGCGGTCCTGCAAATACCCAGGTCATATGCCATGGAGCGCTTTAAAGGTGGTTACGCATTACGGTGCGGTATGCTGGCTTGACAGCCGCGGATGGACAGATATTACAGAGGGTGGTGAGCACAGCGCAAAACATCGTGGGCTGGTACCCCCGATAACGCTAGATGAGATCACTGGGGCTCGCTGCCTTAGAAGAGTGAGGGAAAGGTGAGCCGAGGTGGCGCAGTGGTTAGAGTACAGTACTGCAGCTACTTCAGCTGTCTGCTAGTTCAGCAGATCAGCAGATCAAATCTCACCGGCTCAAGGTTGACTTAGCCTTCCATCCTTCCGAGGTGGGTAAAATGAGGACCCAGATTGTTGGGGGCAATATGCTAATGCCAGGGTGGATAAAAATCAATGATTTTTTTAAAAAAATAAAAAAAAAACCAGATATTTTTTATTTAAATCAGATTTTTTTTTTAAATTGAATTTATTTTAATAAAAAACTTTTGGGGTAAAAATCTATCGTAAGATAGTTTTCTATTTAAGATAAATAAATAATTTAGTTTATTCAGCATGAATGGAGCTTAGTTATGTAGCACGAGGCTGTATATTCTGCAACCCTGGGACTATCGGTGAGTCAACAGCGGGTCAAAGGAGTAGCAGAGATGACAGTTGCTCTTTAAAAATTATGATTTAAATCGAGTTGATTTAAATCAAGCCTTTTTACTAGTGATTTAAATCATGATTTAAATTGTGATTTAAATCAACTCGATTTAAATCAAATCCACCCTGGCTAATGCAATATGTTAATATGCAATATGCCATATGCTAACTTTGTAAACCGCTTAGAGAGGGCTGTAAAGCACTTTGAAGTGGTATAGAAGTCTAACTAACTAACTAACTAACTAACTAACTAACTAATAAATAAATAAATAAAATCCTCAGGGACGACTCACACCCTGGTCAGCGCTTCTTTACCCTCCTATCATCCGGAAGGAGATACAGAAGCATAGCCAGCCACACAAATAGGCTGAAGAACAGTTTTTATCTGTGGGCTGTCAGGCTTCTGAATGGGAAATAACTTTACAACAACATAGTATGATTGATTTGCGGAACTGGCGCAACGTGCAATAAGTTCCCACGGTGCAATAGGATTGTGTGTTTGTTAGTAGAATTCACTGGGTTAGGGATTTTTCTGCCAAAAAAACAAGAATAGTTTTCTCCCGAACGCCATCACTCTGCTAAACAAATAATTCCCTCAAAACTGTCAAACTAGTTATTAAGTCTGCATTACTTTTAATTTTCTCATTGTGCCCATCACCCATCTCCTCCCACTTATGACTGTCTGACTGTAACCTTGTTGCTGGTATCCTTACAATTTATATTGACTGTTTCCTAGTATGGTTTGATTGCTTATTTGTACCCTATGACCATCATTAAGTGTTGTACCTTAGGATTCTTGACGAATGTATCTTCTCTTTTTATGTACACTGAGAGCATATGCACCAAAGACAAATTCCTTGTGTGTCCAATCACACTTAGCCAATAAAGAATTCTATTCTATTCTATTCTATTCTATTCTATTCTATTCTATTCTATTCTATTCTATTCTATTCTATTCTATTCTATTTTGTTCTTTCTTCTATTCTATTCTATTCTATTCTATTCTATTCTATTCTATTCTATTCTATTCTATTCTATTCCTGTCTTTCACTGTGAGTTGTATTGGTTTGGAGGGGTGCACGAAGGGAGGCTCAGCCAATCTCATTGTACACACGTTGTACTCTTGACAATAAAGGTTTGAATTGAATTGAATTGATTGCACTTGCAAGTAGAGCTGGGTGTACAGGTCTCCTGTGTGAGCAGGGGGTTGGACTAGATGACCTCCAAGGTCCCTTCCAACTCTGTTACTGTTATTGATTTAATCAATAGCTAGTAGAAATACAGGAGAATCGATTATTGTGCATCCTTTTTTTCTCCCCCAGCATGTGTGAATATCATATTGTGTTCTTCCATTTTGGAGTAAGCAGCATGGGAGAGAAAGCAGAAAAAAATAGTAAAACTAGAAAAATAGTAAAAAAAAAAGACATTAAAGGGAAGACATGGGGAAAAAGACAACAATGTAGATCAGGGGTCTCCAACCTTGGTGACTAAGACTTGTGGACTTCAACTCCCAGAGTTCCTCAGCCAGCAAAGGTGGCTGAGGAACTCTGGGAGTTGAAGTCCACAAGTCTTAAAGTTTGCCAAGGTTGGAGACCCCTGATGTAGATAATCTAGTGCAGGGGTCCCCAACCTCCAGTCCACGGACCAGTACTGGGCCATGCAAACAAGCAAAGCCCCATCCTTGGGATGTGGGCAGCATATGAAACCATGCCCCTTCTGGTCCGCGGAAAACTTTCTCTCCACGGAACCTATCCCTAATGTCCCTAATGTTGGGAGGCCACTGATCTAGGGCATGTTTCTCAACTTTGGCAACCTAAAGTTGTGCGGATTTCAACTCCCAAAATTCCAAGATTTGAGAAACCTTTTTTTTTTTAAATTTGATTTATATGCCGCCCTTCTCCGGAGACTCAGGGCGGCTTACAATGCGTTAAGCAATAGCCTTCATACTTTGGTATATTTATACAAAGTCAGCTTATTGCCCCCACAAACTGGGTCCTCATTTAACCTACCTTAGAAAGGATGGAAGGCTGAGTCAACTTTGAGCCTGGTAAGATTCGAACCTGCAGAAATTGCAGGCAGCTGTGTTAATAACAGGGTGCATTAAACCACTGTACTACCAAGGCTCCTAAACCTGGGTGTAGCATAGTGAGATATGCACGTAATGTCAACGGCGACCCATTAAAATTGCAACAGAACAACGAATGTATTCATGCGTTTATCCACTGAACTATTGTGGATATTATTAGCATCTCTTTCAGATGTTTCTTCAATAACCCTTTTTCTCTTTACATGTTGGTGTCTTCATTTTTTAGGTAATGGAATATTTCCCATAACCGTGTGGTCTCAGGAGCGGGATTGGAAGTGAAAGTTGGTAAGTATTTGGGGACACTGGGATGGGATCCCGTGTTTTGACCATCATCTCTTTCTCTTACTACAGAAGAGGATGTCAGCACGTCAAGATGCATTTATCCTAGTGCTGACATGAGAAGGAGAACGCAAGTGTCTGCAACGGGATGGTTGCCTTTCACCTACTTATTTTAGCTGGAGATAATGTCCCCTAGGAGATGGATGGGAGGGGGGAAATTCTTTGAATTGGAGCAGTAGATTGGGGTGAATGATTGGGAAGATGGCCAATGAATGCAGAGGAGTGGGGGAAGGAAGAGGAGGGATTTTGGGTCAGCTCGTCAGTGCTGGCTGCATGGAGTCAGTGTAAAAGTTGCCGTGCTAAATAAAATGGAAGTTTGTTTCAAAAAAGACTTTGTTTGAGACGCAATTTATTTGAAGACGGCCTGAAAACCTGACAGAGGCTTTGGTAATAAGATGGACCTGCAGGAAAGGCTCAGTGGTCCCTTTTCAGGGAAGTTGAAAAAAGGAAGGTTCTACATTTAGGCAAGAAAAACAAAATGCACAGGTACAGTATGAGGAACCTCACTCAATAGCAGTAACTGTGAGAGGGATCTTGGAGTCCTAGTGGACAACCATTTAGATATGAGCCAGCCGTGTGCAGCCAAAAAAGCCAACACAGTTCTTGGCTGCATTAACAGAGGGATAGAATCAAGATCACGTGAAGTGTTAGTACCACTTTATAATGCCTTGGTAAGGCCACACTTGGAATCCTGCATCCAGTTTTAGTCACCACGATGTAAAAAAGATGTGGAGACTCTAGAAAGAGTGCAGAGAAGAGCAACAAAGATGATTAGGGGACTGGAGGGTAAAACATGAAGAACGGTGGCAGGAACTGGGCATGTCTAGTTTAATGAAAAGAAGGACCAGAGGAGACATGATAGGAGTCTTCCAATATCTCAGGGGCTGCCACAGAGAAGAGGGAGTCCAGCTATTCTCCAAAGCCCCTGAGGGCAGGACAAGAAACAATGGGTGGAAATCAAGGAGAGAAGCAATTTAGAACTAAGGAGAAATTTCCTGACAGTTAGAACAATTAATAAGTGGAACAACTTGCCTGCAGAAGTTGTAAATGCTCCAACACTGGAAGTTTTTAAGAAGAGATTAGATAACCATTTGTCTGAAGTGGGTGTAGGGTTTCCTGCCTAAATAGGGGGTTGGACTAGAAGACCTCCAAGGTCCTTTCCAACTCTGTTATTCTATTTTATTCGATTTGATTCAATTTGTATAAATCAAGTTAGTAAACATCAGCAATTTCTGAAGAAAATTTTGGTCCAAGGCACGAATGATAGTTATGAAACAGAAATGCGTGTCTAGGTGGAAAAAAGAGACTTGGACTTCCTGGGGAGTTCCCAGATTCCTTTGGCTTACCCAAGACTTAGTCCTCGACTTACAACAGTTTGTTTAGTGACCGTTCAAAGTTACAACAGCACTGAAAAAAGTGCTGTATCTGATCATGTGAATCCAGTCCAGAAAAGATTTTTGGCTGTAAGAAATCTGTGAAAAAGGCTTAACGGTGCGCTGTGGCCCTTTTGTTCCGCTTCTCCAGGCGATTCATGGACCCCCGGATGAGCCCTCCCAAAACCCGGCTGCGGAAAAGGAGGAAGAAGGCCGTTTGGAAGCCGAAGAGGAAACGTCCCCAAGTGGTTGCCCCTGACCTGGAACTCCACCACTGCGACATCTGCGGGAAGGACATCAAACACCAGTCCAATTTCCGGGAACACCAGCGCATCCACACGGGGGAGCGCCCGTACCAGTGCCAGCGTTGCCAAAAGACCTTCACCCGTTGCGCCGACCTCATTAAGCACCGCCTGGTGCATTCGGCCTCCCGGCCCTTCCACTGCCGGATCTGCGGGAAACGGTTCAAGCTGCAGGCTGACCTGGACAAGCACGCCAAGGTGCATTCGGACGAGGCCCCTTTCCCCTGCCATTTGTGTCCCAAGCGCTTCAAGCGGACCTCCTGCCTGGTGAAACACCTGCGGATCCACACCCAGGAGAAGCCCTTCGCCTGCTCCCACTGCAGCCGGCGCTTCAAGTGGGAAGCCTCGGTCAAAGAACACGAGCGGGTCCACACGGGCGAGCGTCCCCACCGCTGCGACCAGTGTCCCAAAACCTTCACGCATCGTTCCACCTTCCTGCAGCACCAGCGCACCCATCAAAAGTACCCCGCCTTCGGCTGCAAGCACTGCCCCAGGTCTTTCAATCACAAGTCCAACCTTCTGAAGCACGTCCGCAGGTTGCACTCTTAGGGACAAGAGGGCGGGCGAAGGGGCTCAGGATCCGTAAATGACCCTCCCTTCCAGGGGTGAAATCTAGCAGGTTCTGACAGGTTCTGGAGAACCGGTAGCGGAAATTTTGAGCAGTTGAGAGAACAGCTGGTCCCAGAGTGGAGTGGGAATGGAGATTTTGCAATATCCTTCCCCCAGGAGTGGGGAGGGAATGGGGATTTTGCGGTATCCTTTTCCTGGAGTGGGGTGGAAATGGAGATTTTGCAGTATCCTTCCCCTGCCACGCCACCAAGCCACGTGCACCAAGCCACACCACGCCCACCAAGCCATGCCCGCAGAACCAGTAGTAAAAAAAATTGAATTTCACTATTGCTCCCTTCCCTTTCTCAGGGTGCCCAAAGACTTTGCGAGGTGTGCCACGGCCGTCTTCTCACGGAGAAAAAGCTTGCAAATGAGACCACTCTCCCTAAATGACTTGTAGAAGAACTAGCAGACAAAAATGGAGGCGTTCCCTTTGATTGATAATGTTACCTAGTAGGGTAATTCAGAGGTGGGTTTCAGCAGGTTCTGACCAGTTCTGGAGAACCGGTAGTAAAAATTCTGACTGGCCCCGCCCCCATCTATTCTCTGCCTCCCGAGTCCCAGCTGATCGGGAGGAAATGGGGATTTTGCAGTAACCTTCCCCTGAATTGGCCCACCAAGCCATGCCACGCCCACCAAACCACACCCACAAAACCGGTAGTAAAAATTTTTGAAACCCACCACTGGGTTAACGAGACATCAGCAAGGGAAACCACTAAGTTCAGAGAGCACCAAGGGCCCCTGCTTGATCTTTTCCTGTCCCTCTGCCAAAATTGGTGTGTTGTCTTCATTTTTACAAAAAAAAAAATGAGGAAACCAGCAAGAGAAGAATCCCAAATGCCAATCAAACTGTTTTTGATCAGGCCTGGCATGTTTGGAAAACTTTTTTTCTTTTTTGACTGAGGAACATCAGATTTTCAAATGGATAGCAATAGCACTTAGACTTGTATACCGCTTCACAGTGCTTTACAGTCCTCTCTAAGCGGTTTACAGAATCAGCCTCTTGTCCCCCCAACAATCTGGGTCCTCGTTTTACCCACCTCGGAAGGATGGAAGGCTGAGTCAACCTTGAGCCTGGTGAGATTCGAACTGCCAAATTGCAGGCAGCCGGCAGGCAGCAGAAGTAGCCTGCAGTACTGCACTCTAACCACTGTGCCACCGTGGCTCTTGGGATGAATGACATCCTTTAAATCAAATTGAAACCTAACAAATTTGACATAGCCTTAGAGCTGATCTAACAGCTAGTTTACCCCAGCCGGTTATAAATCTTATCGGAATATTTCCAGGGCAACCCATGAATTTGTCCTTAAGATGCCAACGAAGGATATCTTCCTTCTGGCATTTGGTACCCCTAAATTGTTCCCCCCCCTCATTTTTTTAACCTGTTTCTTCTCACTTAAGACAATTGCCTTTTTTTTTTAAGATTGCACAGGTAGTCCTCAACTTAAGACGGCAATTGAGCCCAAATTCCCATTGCTAACTGAGGCAATTGTTAAATGTATTTCCCATTTTACGACCTTCGTTGCCACAGTTAAGTGAATCACCATGCTTGTTAAGTTACTAAGACAGTTGTTAAATGAATCTGGTTTTGCTTTCTCAGAAAGGGGATCACATGACCCCAGGATACTACAACCGTCACAAATACACGCCAGTTGCCAAGCTTCCGAATTTTGATCACATGACCACGGGGGAAGCTGCAACGGTCTTAAGTGTGAGAAACGGGCCTAAGTCCCCCTTTTCAGTGCCGTTGTAACTTTGAACGGTCACTAAACAAATGGTTGTAAATCGAGGACTGCCGGTAAACCGCAGAAGGGCAGGAAGTGACCCCCCCCAGATCCATTACATTTATTACTCATAAAATGAAACAAAACATTAAACAGTTCTATTTATGTACAGTAGTGACTTACCAAGCACGTCTAAATTATATTAAAGCAGCCAAAATAACTCTACAATCCCCGTGGCATGTCACACCTTTTGATGTTATTTGATGTCTAATGTTGGAAATTGAAAGTTGAAAAATTTGACATGCCCTGAATGTAGGCATGCCTCTCCCCCCACCCCTTTTCTGAAATGTATACATATATAGCAATAGCAATAGCACTTAGACTTATATACCGCTTCACAGTGCTTTACAGTCCTCTCTAAGCAGTTTACAGAGTCAGCTTTTTGCCCCCAATAATCTGGGTCCTCATTTTATCCACCTCGGAAGGATGGAAGGCTGAGTCAACCTTGAGCCTGGTGAGATTCGATCTGCCAAACTGCTGGCAGCCGGTGAGCATTAGAAGTAGCCTGCAGTACTGCATTCTAACCACTGCGCCACCGCGGCTCTTTTCAATATGTCTGGTTTAGAGGAGTGGCGCTCACTATTTCCTTGATGTGATGCCCTCCATTACGTGACTGTTGACATAATGCCCCCCTCTGAAGTGGGCCTTGATTAGCTGCTTTGGGTCCTGCCTTTGTTGATTCCACGCAATCAGCAATAACACAAAAAAGGTCATTTGGGTGACATGAGTGCCGATCTCTATCACTGCTTCTAATTAAAGAGATTGTGTTCCCGTCAAAAGAAGTACTGTTTTTCGGACTATAAGACGCACCTACATTTAGAAGAGGAAAACAATAACAAAAAAAAAGTTTTTGGCCTCTGCACGTCCCATTTTTGGCCCTTTTCCAGCCCATTTTTGAGGCTTTTTTCGGCCCATTTTTGAGACTTTTTGGCCCATTTTCGAGGCTTTTTTCGGCTCGTTTTTGAGGCTTTTTCGGCCCGTTTTGAGGCTTTTTTCAGCCCGTTTTCAAGGCTTTCTGGGCCCATTTTCAAGGCTTTTTGGGCCCGTTTATGAGACTTTTTTTGGCCCGTTTTTGAAGCTTTTTTCGGCCTGTTTTTGAGGCTTTTCGGGCCCATTTTTGAGGTTTTTTTCGGCCTGTTTTCGAGGCTTTTTCGGCCTGTTTTCAAGGCTTTTTTGGCCTGTTTTCGAGGCTTATTGGGCCTGTTTTTTGGGGTGTGTGGAGGCAAAAAAACGGCCGGCTTCAGTAATATTCGCCCTATAAGATGCACAGATGTTTTCACCCCCTTTTGGGAGACAAAAAAGTGTCTTATAGTCCCGAAAAATATGGTACAATACCTCTTTTTTCTTTGGCACTGGGTCCCATTTGGGCAGAATATTACCACCACGGACTGGGAGCAGGAAATTAAAACTTTTTCTTCCTATATTTTTTTTCCGAGGGTCTGGATGAAGTTCTCTGTATTGTTTTCCAATTCAGTTTCAGTTTCAGTTCGGTTTCAATTCAGTTTCTGTTTCTGGTCTCGCCTTGCTATTCAGTGAAACACATTACAGGCAGTCCTTGACTTCATGATCACAATCAGGCACCAAATTTCTATTGCTTAATTAGGACCAGGTTGTTAAGTGAGTTTTGCCCCATTTTATGTCTGTCAGATTCGGGTTAATGCCAGGGTTCCAAGTAACACCCCCAATGAAAGAAGACTCTGAGGCTAGAAGTTCCTCAAAGTTCCATTTTATTAGAGATGTCGTATTGGCACATCTGGGAAAACCCGAATCTGAAAGTTTCCAGGTTTTCCCCACCCAAAAGAAAGTTTAAGTCCCTGCCCAGCACCCACATGTCCATCACATGATCCAATCAGGCACTATCCAAAACTTAAGCTACCTCCCAGTTACCTCATGCAGCTGCAGGGCACTGTGGCCTTGACTCTCTGAGAAAAGAATGTTATTTTGACTATATATCACCCATACTCTATATCAGTGATGGCTAACCTTTTTGCCATTGTGTGCCAGGGATGGGTAGGTCGCATGTGTGTGTGCTCACATTCATAATTCTATGTGCCCTGCCCCCACGCATGCACATGCACATGTGAACTCCCCCACGCTCCCCATGTGATGGCATGGTAGGCCCGTTTTTTGCTGTCCCCAGCCTCCAGAGCCTTTCTAGGAGTCTGGGGAGGGCGAAAACAGCCTTCCCTACTCCCCCTCACCCCCGGAGGCCCTCCAGAAGCTGAAAATGGCCCGTTTGCCAACTTCCAGTCCTACCATTTGGCTTAGAGACTGTTGAATTCCACCTATTTTTGGGAAGAAACTTGAGTCTGCATTGGGTATTGAAGCTAATAATTAAGTTTGGAATGATGGATTTGATATATATATATATGCATAACATCTTGGTTTACGTAGGTAGAACCTGGCTAAAGAGACATACACATAAAACCTACGAAAAAGAAAGAAAAACATGTATGTATGTATGTATATATGTCTGTATTTTTTTTTCTTTCTTTCGTAGGTTTTATGTGTGTTTTTCTTTTAGCCAGGTTTTTCCTACGTAACCAAGATTTTTCTGCAGCCCTAGCTCAGTGGAGTCACATCCACTCGATTCTGGGCTTTTTTCTTCTGGCAGCCTGAGCAGGCCCTATGCTGCCTAGTGAGAGATTTATATAGATCTATTTCTGGCTCATTAGCCATCATCAGTAAGCCACACCCACATTTCATGTATCCTCCCTGTAAAGGTACAATATCTATTTTCTTACTTTCGTAATATATATATATATATATATATATATATATATATATATATATATATTATGTGTGTGTGTGTGTGTGTGTGTGTGTGTGTGTATGTGTTGTATGTATGTATGTATGTATGTATGTATGTATGTATTTGTACTTAGTTTTGCATTTTTTAAAAAGCATCAATGGTAACCAGTGACAAACAGCCCTATTTTGTTACAAGAAATGAAATCTACACTAAAATGTATATAGCTTCCATTAAAAAACATATTGCGAGTTGCTGTCTGTTGCATATTCTCTGTATAGGGACAAATAACTCTTCTCCATTATCTCTGAATGGACAAGTGGTCTGAATATCATAAGATCATGAGAGCCGAGGTGGCTCAGTGGTCTGTCTGCCTCCTGCCTGCCTGCCTATCTATCATCTATATCTGTGATGGTGATGGTGAACCTATGGCACACGTGCCACAAGTGGCACACAGAGCCCTCTCTGCAGGCACGCCAGCCGTTGCCCCAGCCCAGCTCCACCTTGCATGCAAGCGTGCCTCCCGCCAGCCAGCTGGTCTTCCGGTCTCTCTCGTGTATGCGCGGGGGGTGGACACTGGGCACGGGGTGCAGGTTGGGGCAGGAGGCTTTCCGGCCCGAAATGGGACATGGGGGGAGGGGCTCCTGCACCAACCTGGGAGCCAATATTGGGCACTAGCGGGACCTACACAAGGCTCCCTGTGCCCCGTTTTGGGCCTGGAAAGCCGCCTACATCAACCTGGAAGCCAAAACAGGATGCGGGGGCCAGGGTGCATGTGCGGGGGCTGGGGGGAGCTCACATTGCATTTTGGGAGTTTAGGCATGCATGTGTGTATTTTTGCATGCATGCGTGCGCTTTGGGCACTCGGCACCAAAAAGGTTAACCATCACTGATTTATACGTATCATCTATATCATTTATATCATCTATCTGTCTATCTATATCTATCTATCTATCTATCTATCTATCTATCTATCTATCTATCTATCATCTATCATCTATCATCTATCTATCATCTCTATATCATCTATCATCTATATCTATCATCTATATCATCTATATCTATATCATCTATCTCTTGCTATCTATCTATCTCTATCTATCTATCTATCATCTATCTATATCATCTATCTATCTATATCATTATCTATATCATCTATCATCTATATCTATATCATCTATATCATCTATCTCTTGCTATCTATCTATCTCTATCTATATCTATCTATCTATCTATATCATATCATCTATCTATATCATATCATCTATCATCTATATCTATATCATCTATCTATATCATTATATCATCTATCATATCTATATCATATCATCTATCATCTATATATCATCTATATCTATATCTATCTATCTATATCATCTATCTATCTATCTATATCATCTATCTATATCATCTATATATCATCTATCATCTATATCTATATCATCTATCTATCATCTATCTATCTATATATCATCTATCTACATCCATCTATCTATCTATCTATCTATCTATATCATCTATCTATATCATCTATATATCATCTATCATCTATATCTATATCATCTATCTATCATCTATCTATCTATATATCATCTATCTACCTATCCATCTATCTATCTATCTATCTATCTATCTATCTATATCATCTATCTATATCATCTATATATCATCTATCATCTATATATCATCTATCTATCTATATATCATCTATCTACCTATCCATCTATCTATCTATCTATCTATCTATATCATCTATCTATATCATCTATATATCATCTATCATCTATCTATCATCTATCTATCTATATATCATCTATCTACCTATCCATCTATCTATCTATCTATCTATCTATATCATCTATCTATATCATCTATATATCATCTATCATCTATATCTATATCATCTATCTATCATCTATCTATCTATATATCATCTATCTACCTATCCATCTATCTAAATCTATCACTTTTGACACACGTGTCGTAGGTTCACCAACTTTGGTCTTGTATAATTAATCACCTCCACCCTCCCACCCATCGCTTGCTCGATGAGACTTTGCATTGGAGAAGTGGAGGAATGAATTTGAGTTATTGTGTGTATTAAATCTGCCAGGGGTTTCTGCCTTAAAAAAACTCAAGATACCTGCAAAAATACAGCAGAGCCGCTCTAGTATCTTGTAAGTCAGGGGACAATGAGGTGAGGCCAATAATGGGGCTGTTAAAACAGCCATCGTACAAAATAACAAAAAAAAGAGACTTATTTGATTGAAATACTTGTCATATAGGATTCATATATTTGTGGGATCCTTGGTGCTCTCTGAGTTTGCTTGTTTCCTTGCAGACGTTTCATTACCCAACTAGGTAGCATCATCAGTGCTAGTAAGGACTGCTGTTTGTTATCAGTTTATATTCTGGTGTC